TATTTTTAGTAGAGACGGGGGTTTCACCACGTTGGCCAGGCTGGTCTCGAACTCCTGATCTCAGGTGATCCACCCGCCTCAGCCTCCCAAAGTTCTGGGATTACAGGCATGAGCCACTGAGCCCGGCCTAAGTATGAATTTTTGAAATGCATGCTCTAGCTGGAACTTAAATAGTTTGTGAAAACATTGGTAAGTACTTTATTTATGATTAAACTAGAAACTCAATAATTCTATGTAACTTACAATCCTTAGATTTTGGAAAACTTCCAATTTCAATGCACTATCAATATGTTATAAAATATATTTCAGTATATCTGTATGTCAATTGAGGTATAAAAGCATGTCTAATAATAGAGGCAGAATTGATAAGGTCCTGATAAGTTCTTGGTTCAGAAAAAAAAAAAAAAAAAAAAAAATATGAACTCTTTTCATTCCTTGAACAGAGTATGCTCTTGTCTCAAGGTCTCCTGGAGCACTGGGCCCTCCTCTTTACCTTGCTGACTTATCCTACAGGTCACAGCTTCACACATTTCTTCTGGGACCACTCCTTCCCAGCCCCTACCCTCTCTGGGTCAGGCACCGTTGTTTTTCACTTCCACACCCCGTGTAAACCCTTCTGTATAATTCATCACATTGTATCGTATCTACAGGCAGTGAACCCCTTGAGTACAGGGTCCGCGCCTGGCTTGTTCTCCGCTGAGTCTCCAGCACCTAGGACAGGGCCTGGCACGAAGTAGGTGCACAGTGAGTAGTGAATGCTGGAGTGAATGGATGCGTGAGGGTTGGTGTCTTTTGGAAAGCAGCGCTCATTGGCTGAGAACGCCTGGGTTCTTGCTGGGCAAGGTTTAGGCGTATATTTGCCAGGGTGTTAAGGAAGGAACGGAGGGATCAAATCCCAACTCCACTTAGCCTCCCCAACACTGCCGTGGAGCCGCGCCTTTTTTCCGGCCCAACTGAGCCGGAAGTGGAGCGCGGGCTTCCCATGATGCCCCGCGGGACCTTTATTCTAACCGCAAGGAGTAAGGGGAGGAGGTCGTGATGGCGGCGCCGGAGGCGGAGGTTCTGTCCCCAGCCTCAGTCCCTGGTAAGGCGTGGGGCCCAGAGTTTGGGAAGCCTTGGGGTCCCGTTTCTTCCCTACCTCCGCGCCCTCCATTTATCCCTTGGTCCTCTCTCTAGCCCATCTTCCCTGTCTTCCGGGTGTCCTACAAGGCTCTAGCTGTGACTCCATCGCCGTGGGTCGCACTGGCCTCTGCTTGACTACACTTTTGACTCATTTCCCCAGATCAAGTCCCGCTGCTTTCTGAGCGGGGAGCCCTAGTTACTACCTCCGAAATACCCCCACTATCTTTCAGTCAATTAAATCTCCTCAGGCAACAGGGATCAGGAATCTCTCCCTGCCACGGCCCACACTGTAGGCTGCGGAGGGTATGGGCGTATGTCGGAGTGCCTGCTTTCTCAGGGTGGCTGGTTTGGTGGCCACAGGGAATGAGAAGACTGACTTTGGCTTTTAGGTTTTTAATTTTTCTCTCTTGTCCCTCTTTTCATCTACCAGATTTGGAGTGGTATGAGAAGTCAGAAGAAACTCACGCCTCCCAGATAGAACTGCTTGAGACAAGCTCTACCCAGGAACCTCTCAACCCTTCGGAGCCCTTTTGCCCAAGAGACTGCATGGTACCAGTGGTGTTTCCTGGGCCTGTAAGCCAGGAAGGCTGCTGTCAGTTTACTTGTGAACTTCTAAAGCATATCATGTACCAACGCCAGCAACTCCCTCTGCCCTATGAACAGCTTAAGAACTTTTACCGAAAACCTTCTCCCCAGGTAGGCACAGGCTTTGGGAGCAAGTTGGTGGGAAGACTTTGTGGCTCTTAGATGGGAGGCAGGTAGAAAGGGGGTCTAAGAAATCTTCAGAGCCTGAGAGACTAAGCAGCTTCCAGGGCTTCAGTCACTTTCTCCCCATTCTAGTCTTTGGTAGCCTAACCCTTCTGGCTTTTTCTCCTGTTCTTTCTTTCTGAAACTCGTGTTGCATTTGTACTTAATGAACTGGCTCTTCACATTTTTTTCTTTTGAGACAGAGTCTCGCTCTGTTGCCCAGGCTGGAGTGCAGTGGTGAGATCTTGGCTCACTGCAATCTCCCCCTCCCGGGTTCAAGGGATTCTCCTGCCTCAGCCTCCTGAGTTGCTAGGATTACAGGCTCCCGCCACCACACCCAGCTAATTTTTGTATTTTAATTTTTTTATTTTATGTTTTGAGACAGAGTCTTGCTCTGTTGCCCAGGCTGGAATGCAATGGCGTGATCTCTGCTCACTGCAACCTCTGCCTCCCAGGTTCAAGCGATTCTTGTGCCTCAGCCTCCCCAGTAGCTAAGAGCACGTGCCACCATGCCCGGTTTATTTTTGTATTTTTGGTACAGATGGAGTTTCACCATGTTGGCCAGGCTAGTCTCGAACTCCTGACCTCAAGTGATCTGCCCGCCTTGGCCTCTCCCAAAATGCTGGGATTACAGGCGTGAAATACTGCACCCGGCCTGCATGTTTCTTTTTAATAGCATCCTGTTGTTGAATTTCTGTATGAACTTTTTTTTGCTTTGTTGTTTTTTTTTTTTTTGAGATGGAGTCTCACTTTGTCACCCAGGCTGGAGGACAGTGGCACTATCGCAGATCACTGCAACCTCAGTCTCCCAGGTTCAAGTGATTCTCCTGCCTCAGCCTCCCAAGTAGCTGGGATTATAGGCATGCACCACCACACCTGGCTAATTTTGTTTGTTTGTTTTTGATAGGGAGTTTCATTCTTGTCACCCAGGCTGGAGTGCAGTGGCGCCATCTCGGCTCACTGCAACCTCTGTCTCCCAGGTTCAAGCGCTTCTCCTGTCTCAGCCTCCTGAGTAGCTGGGATTATAGGCATGTGCCACCATGTCCAAATAATTTTTGTATTTTTAGTATAGTCAGAGTTTCACCATGTTGGCCAGGCTCGAACTCCTGACCTCAGGTGATCTGCCTGCCTCGGCCTCCCAAAGTGCTGGGATTACAGGCATGAGCCACCGTGCCGAGCCTGTTTGTTTTTTGAGACAGAGTCTCGCTCTTGTTGCCCAGGCTGGAGTGCAGTGGAGCGATTTCGGCTCACTGCAACCTCCACCTTCTGGGTTCCAAGCGATTCTCCTGCCTCAGCCTCCCAAGTAGCTGGGATTACAGGTGTGTACCACCACACCCAGTTAAATTTTGTATTTTTAGTGGAGACGGGGTATCGCCATTTTGGCTAAGCTGCTCTCAAACTCCTGACCTCAAGTGATCTGCCCACCTTGGCCTCCCAAAGTGCTGGGATTACAGGTGTGAGCCACCACGCCTGGCTTACCCAGCTAATTTTTGTTTTTTTAATAGAAACGGAGTTTCACCATGTTGGCCAGGCTGGTCCCAAACTCTTGACCTCAGGTGATCCACCTGCCTCAGTCTCCCGAAGTGGTGTTGGGATTACAGGTGTGAGCCACCGCACCAGGCCATGAACTTCTTTTGCCTGAGGATATTAATTATTTAATTTTTGAAGTTTTTCTTTGTTCTTTGCGGCATCTCAGTTTCTTCTAGAATCCATTCTCCATTTGTTTTGTTCTGGTCTTTGACTTTCATGTTGGAGAATTTTATTGTGTCTGGTGAATATTTAAGAACAAATCACTGCAAGCTCTGTGTACATGCCTGGGCCTTATGAGCTTATAGACTTCACTATAAGGAGATTAGGTGGCAACCTGGTGATCTCTTTGGGGGGGATTCCTTAAACACAGTATTGGAAAGTCTTCCCTCTGGATGGGGGAGAAATTTGGCAGATGATCTAAGCATCTTGACACAGATTTTCATTCATTTCCCCTATATTCATTCTTGCCTCTGTGGTGCCTGTATCACCACTTCCTAAACCTTTCTGGGGTTCTGCTGTGTGTATCAGTTTGCATCCCTTGGGGGTCCCTTCTGTCAGCACTTGGTATTCAGCTCTCTTGAACTCTTAATTCTTCACCTTCTTTCTTTTCTTTTTTTTCTTTTTTTTTGAGACAGAGTCTTGCTCTGTCGCCCAGGCTGGAGTACAGTGGCGTAATCTCGGCTTACTGCAAGCTCCGACTCCTGGGTTCACGCCATTCTCCTGCCTCAGCCTCCCGAGTAGCTGGGACTAGAGGCGCCCGCCACCACGCCCGGCTAATTTTTTGTATTTTCGGTAGAGACGGGGTTTCACCGTGTTAGCCAGGATGGTCTCGATCTCCTGACTTTGTGATCCGCCTGTCTCGGCCTCCCAAAGTGCTGGGATTACAGGCATGAGCCACCGTGCCCGGCAAGGCTAATTTTGTGTATTTTTAGTAGAGACAGGGTTTCACTGTGTTAGCCAGGATGGTCTTGATCTCCTGACCTCATGATCCACCTGCCTCGGCCTCTCAGTGCTGGGATTGTAGGCATGAGCCACTGCGCTCGGCCAACTCTTCATCCTCTTTCTGTCTTCCAAAACTTTGTGTTTGCATTTGACTAGTGTTGTGTAGTCTCCAGTTCTTTGCCCTTGGGAGTTTTCTTTCTCGGTCTTTCCTCTTCTTTCGTTCATTTGTTTCTTAATTTCTTTTCTCTCATTTTGTAGTATTTCAGGTGGAAGCGCAAATAAGCATTGTTCAGTTTACTATGTTTAAGTGGAAGAACAAGTTCAGAGTCATGTTTATTAGACCAAATAATCCTTATTCCTGTTATCACTCCGTGTATAGCAAAAATTTGTTGTCACTTTGTCATACTACCAAATCTCTATTTTAGTTGTTTATATCTGGATATTCTCCACCTTCAGAACACTGTGTTTGCTGTTCTATATGTGGGAGAATTATGGTTTTGTACAAATAATATATTTTCCTTTTCAGTATAATGCCCTCTGATAAAACACAGTGTTGTGGCTGTGGCGGTTCATTGAGCTAGAAATTCAGTCCTGTAAGTCTATGTACACATCCCAGCAGGGTTCTTTTCAAAGGGCATTAGCTTCCCCCTGCCTTGTTCTTCTCTCCCGCCATTCTTTGTCCTCACAGGCAGAGGAGATGCTGAAGAAGAAACCTCGGGCCACCACTGAGGTGAGCAGCAGGAAATGCCAACAAGCTGTGGCAGAACTGGAGAGTGTCCTCAGCCACCTGGAGGACTTCTTTGCACGGACACTAGTACCACGAGTGCTGATTCTCCTTGGGGGCAATTCCCTAAGCCCCAAGGAGTTCTATGAACTCGATTTGTCTCTGCTGGCCCCCTACAGCGTGGACCAGAGCCTGAGCACAGCAGCTTGTTTGCGCCGTCTCTTCCGAGCCATATTCATGGCTGATGCCTTTAGTGAGCTTCAGGCTCCTCCTCTCATGGGCACCATCATCATGGCACAGGGACACCGCGACTGTGGAGAAGATTGGTTTCAACCCAAGCTCAACTATCGAGTGCCCAGCCGGGGCCATAAACTGACTGTGACCCTGTCATGTGGCAGACCTTCCATCCGAACCACGGCTTGGGAAGACTACATTTGGTTCCAGGCACCAGTGACACTTAAAGGCTTCCGCGAGTGAATGAGTGCTTCTTAATTATAAAAACACAATGGCTGAATTATCTTTCTTCATGTGGCACTGAATTACCCATCTAGTTTGGAGCTAGAATTTCTTCCTGGTGAGAGACAAAGCAACTCTCCTTCTGGTTGTCTGCCTCCCCTCCTCAGGTTTCCTGATGGGCTGATGGCATGTGGCGGTGACTGTAATCATTGCTGAACAACATCTCTTTGAATCAAAGGTTGATTTTCCCAGAGGGTGCTGGGTCAGGTATTTCTGTTAGGGGTTGTAAAGCAAAGATGGGTCCATAGACAGAAACTCTATGAAGGTGGCCCTTTCTGCTCCTTGCTGTGTCCTTTCAGAATTTTTCCCAGGAACATAATGTGGATGTGACTTATGAATTTAAATATAAAATAAATAGATTCTTATTATATTTTCCTGAAATTGTTTTGACTTAAAATAACTTGTCAGGTTTTAGGCTATTTTGTCTTTCTCCTTGGCCTCTTCTGCTTCAGGGCTTCTCAAAAATTTATTATATTTTTCTTTTTTGAGATGGAATCTTGCTCTATCGCCCAGGCTGGAGTGCAGTGGCACAATCTTGGCTCACTGCAACTTCCGTCTCCCAGGTTCAAGGAATTCTCCTGCCTTAGCCTTTGAGTAGCTGAGATTGCAGGTGCCCACCACCACACCCAGATAATTTTTGTATTTTTAGTAGAGATGGGGTTTCACCATATTGGCCAGGCTGGTCTCAAACTCCTGACCTCAAGTGATCCACCTGCCTTGGCCTCCCAAAGTGCTGGGATTACAGGTGTGGGCCACTGTGCCCAGCTTTAGGATTTTTTAATAATGATTTTTTCTCTTCTTCAGCCCCAGGCTAGTCTAGGAAGTTAAGTGACTTGGCCAAGTGCATATGTACTTTGATAACACAGTTAGGACTAGAGTCCTCATTAGCTATCTTTTAGCCAATGTGCTTTTCTTATCACATACAGATTTTTGTGATGCTTAAATTCTGTATCCCCCAAAGCAGAGGTCATCTTTATGTGGGAAGATTGTGGTAAAGAACTTAGCTTACCGGGCCACTGAATGAAAGCAGTGATTTTGGGAAATAGTCTGGCCTGGTGCTTGGTTTGTAGTAAACTGAGCAGGTATGCTGAATAGCGAGAGGGGAGGAGCCACTGTGCCCGGCCAAACACCTCAATTTTTGGAAGCAAGTTGAAGACAGAATCCACACTTTGCTGGTGTTGGGGATAGGTATATGCATGTGTATGTATAATATATAAATGGTATATATAGGCTAGGTGAGTGACTCATGCCTGTAATCCCGGCACTTTGGGAGGCTGAGGTGGGCAGATCGCCTAAAGTCATGAGTTGGAGACCAGCCTGGCCAACATGGTGAAACCCCGTCTCTACTAAAAATACACACACACAAAAAGGCCAGGCACGGTAGCTCATGCCTGTAATCCCAGCACTTTGGGAGGCTGAGGTGGGTGGATCACAAGTTCAGGAGTTCAAGACCAGCCTGACCAATATGGTGAAACCCTGTCTCTACTAAATATACAAAAATTACCTGGGCTCGGTGGCAAGTGCCTGTAATCCCAGCTACTTGGGAAGGCTGAGGCAGAATAATTGCTTGAACCCAGGAGGCAGAGGTTGCAGCGAGCTGAGATCACGCCACTGCACTCCAGCCTGAGTAACAGAGTGAGACCCTGTCTCAAAAAAAGAAAAAAAATTAGCCAGGCGTGGTCGTGGGCACTTGTAATCCCAACTACTTGGGAGGCTGAGGCAGGAGAATCGCTTGAACCCAGGAGGTGGAGGTTACAGTGAGCTGAGATCATGCCACTGCACTCCAGCCTGGGTTACAGAGTGAAACTCCGTCTCACACACACAAAAAAAGGTATACATATACTCACACGTATGTACATAGTATAAGATACATATATGTACTCCTAAAATACACTCTTTTTTTTAAAGTATATGTACTATTTTAAGCACTTACATTATCTAACCCTAACAACTCTGCAGTACATGAATTATTGTCCCCATTTTATAGATAGGGCCAGGGGAGATTGAGCAGTTTGCCTAAGTGGTGAAACTTGGATTCGCCTACAGTACTGCACATCCTATGTGGTTTTACTCTGAAATATTTAGCCAAGATTTGCCTTGCCAAAGGTATTAGCATCAGGAAGCTGTAAGATTTTCCTCTCTGGCTTCAGATTCTGGTGTCTGCCATGGAACCTGCAATAGGTGCTGAGTAAATATGGAATCAATGAAAGCAAAACGCCTGGGCTCTTTTCTGTGCTATGACCACTTGAAGCATATTCTACCAGCCAGAATTTTGACTTTTTCTGTCTACTGCTATTATAGAAGAGAGATTGAGCTGTATCTCCCGCTCAGGGAAAGGAAAGGCTGAGGGGTCTGCCTAAAGGGAGTGGGGATAGTTGTAAACCAGGGAGCCATAAATCGTTTTGAGATAACACATTAAGCCAAATCAACTCCCTCAAATACTAATTTTATTTATTTAGTGAGTTGTATTTTTTGAGACAGGCTCGCTCCGTTGCCCAGGCTGCAGTGCAGTAGCATGATCTTGGCTCACTGCAGTCTCTGCCTCCCCAGTTCCAGCGATTCTCCTGCCCCAGCTTCCCGAGTAACTGGGATTACAGCTGTGCGCCACCATGCCTGGCTAAGTTTTGTATTTTCAGTAGAGACAGGGTTTCACCATGTTGGTCAGGCTGATCTCATAACAATGCCTTCCTTCATAAGCAATGCCTAAGGCTGGGCGTGGTGGTTTATACCTGTAATCCCAGTACTTTGGGAGGCTGAGGTGGGCGGATCACTTGAGCTCAGGAGTTCAACACCAGCCTGGCCAACATGGCAAAACGCCATCTCTACTAAAGATACAAAAAATATTGGGTGTGGTGGCACGCACCTGTAGTCCCGGCTACCTGGGGGGCTGAGGTAGGAAGATCACTTGAACCCAGGAGGTTGAGGCTACAGTGAGCTGACATCACACATCACTACACTCCCACCTGGGTGACAAAGTGAGACCCTGTCTCAATCCCCAAAAACCAACGATGCCCAGACAATCAAAAAAGTAATTATCTGGGTAATTTAGACATTTATTTATCAGCTGAGGCTCAGGTCACTCTGATTTCCTGAGTGCTCTTCAAAGGAATCCAAAAATGAAAATATCAAATTAGCAACATTAACAATAAAGTCCATCTCCTGTGGCAACAAGCTTGCTGAGGAACCTGTTTATGTTTGTCCCTGCCTGGGGATTCAAGAAGTGAATGTGGAGAAGTAGTCTAGCCCAGGGAATGAAGCTCCAGCTGCAGTGAGGTTCTGGCCTTTCATCTCTTGCTACCATTTGGATCTAAAAACAACAGTTAGTGGTAGTTGGTAGTTGATGAGAAAGGTGGTAGTTGATGAGATTGCCCCATTGCCTAGATTTTCATTTGTCACTTAGAATATTTCTATGGAAAGGGTAGATAAAGAAGACAGCTGGTGAAGATGGAAGAGAATGGATGGACCTCAATCTGTAAGACCTGGCTTGGGGTGGGGTGAGGGTGGAGGTAGTGGCGATGACAGAATCTTAATTAGAGCCAAGAGACATCTCAAATTATTTTCTTCACAGATCATTCTGAGGTCAAGAAGTGACATGACGGGTAAAATAGTACAGTTAGTATCAGTGTTGGGGTTTTGTATTGTTTTCTTTCCAGAACCCAGGTGCATATACGGTGAAGACTGTCGACTATGTGAAAGGGCTCAGGGAGGGCCAAATATCTATGGAAAAAGGCTGGGTTAGGATCCCCACACTGTAGCCTAACAGTAGGGGAAGCCATGCTGTGGCCGTGACAACTGAAGACATCCGTCCCAAACTCTGGAAAGGAAGAGGGAGGGGGCTGATGTTTGCCTAGGCCTCCGTGGGGAGGAGGGCTGGGCGGTAGGCGGTGGGGTGGGTGGAAACCAGCGTACTGCTAGGCGGAAGGGCGGAGCTTCAGGTCTCCATGGAGGCAGCTTCTCCTAGCAACTCGACGGGCGTTGAGCAGAGACGCTGGCCTGATGGACGCCGACAGCCTCCTGCTGTCTCTGGAGCTGGCGTCCGGCAGTGGGCAGGGCCTCAGCCCGGACCGTCGGGCCTCGCTGCTCACGTCTCTTATGCTGGTTAAGCGCGACTACCGCTACGATCGGGTTCTCTTCTGGGGCCGCATCCTTGGCCTCGTCGCCGATTACTACATCGCGCAGGGCCTGAGTGAGGACCAGCTCGCACCGCGCAAGACGCTCTACAGGTGAGGAGGCCCCCGGGGCGGGGCCGCCGCCGGACCCCAGAGGGTGGCTACCTAGAGGCAGGGCGGGGTGGGCGGGTCGTAGCAATTGAAAGGGGCAGAGCTCATGGAGCCAAGGGAGATGTGGGCGGGATCTGAGATGAGTGGAATTGGGAAGGGCCTAGGGCCTGGTGGGGCGGGCCTGGGGACGGTCAAGAGGTGGTTGAGGGAAAAGGCAGGGTTGGGGAAGTCGCGGAATCTGAGGCTAGGGCGGAGCCTGAGGGGGCGGGGCAATGGACGGGGTAGGTCCCGGAGGGCGGGGCCCTGCGAGAGCGTGTTCTCCGCCTGAGGAGGCCAAGAGAAACTTAGATGCAGATGGGTTTATAAGAGAGGCAGGGCCAAGAACGCAGGTGAAGCAGTGGGAAGGTTTCTGGAAAATGCGGACCTGGAGAAGAAACCAGGTTCCAACCGAGTGCTGGCTCAGTTTGGAGGAGGGTCAGACGCCCGAGGGAGTGGGTGGTGCTCTTTGATGGAGGTGTCTGCTCTGCAGCTGGAGGCGCTTTTGGAAGTAGAGAACGAATGCGGAATGGGGAGAGAGCTGGGGAAAATTCCCTGGTCACTACCATACTTCCTGGTCACTACCATACAGGACCATCCAGACTATTTATTTATTTTTGTTTCGAGACAGAGTCTCGCTCTGTCACCCAGACTGGTTTGCAGTGTCGCCATCTTGGTTCACTGCCCCCTCCGCTTCCCGGATTCAAGCGATTCTCCTGCCTCAGCCTCCCGAGTAGCTGGGATTACGGGCACGCGCCACTACACCCGGTTACTTATTTATTTATTTATTTATTCTTATTTTCGTAATTTTAGTAGAGACAGGGTTTCACTATGTTGGTTAGGCTGGTCTTGAACTCCTGGCCTCAAGTAATCCACCCACATTGGCCTCCCAAAGTGCTGGGATTACAGGCGTGAGCCACCACGCCCAGCCAGCCTCTTTTTGACTAAAGGGGAGCTTACTACCTTATAAAGCAGTCTATTCGGTCAGCCTGGGCAATAGAGCAAGACCTCATCCGTTAAAAAAAAAAAAAAAAAAAAAAGGCAGGGCGTGGTGGCTCACGCCTTTAATTCCAGCACTTTGGGAGGCCGAGGCGGGAGGATCACGAGGTCAGAAGACTGAGACCATCCTGGCTAACACAGTGAAACCCGTCTCTACTGAAAAGACGAAAAATTAACCTGGTGTAGTAGCGGGCGCGTGTAGTCCCAGCTAGTCGGGAGGCTGAGGCAGAATTGCTTGAACTCGCGAGGCGGAGGTTGCAGTGAGCCGTCATCATGCCACTGCACTCCAGCCTGGGTGACAGAGCGAGACTCTGTCTCAAAAAAAAAAAAAAAGAAAAGAAAAAAAAGAAAACAATTTACAGGGCATGGTGGTGTGCACCTGTAGTCCCAGCTACTCAGTAAGCTGAGGTGAGAGGATTGAGCCCAAGAGTTCAAAGTTGCAGTTATCTATGGATCACTATTGCGCTCCAGCCTGGGTGACAGAGAGAGACCCTGTCTCTAAATAAATAAATAGGCCAGCACGGCTTATTTATTTAGGGAACAGTTAGACAAACTTGTTGGCTGGGGAAGGCTCAGAGTGTTTGGGAGAACAGTAGTATGATGTTGTGTAGAACTGGTTCTAGAGGCAAAAGGATATGGAACTTTGTTTATAGAACATGGGGAGCTACTGAGGGGCTTGCAAGAAGAGCCTGCTCAGATCAGAGTGGGCAGAATGGCCTGAAAGTGTGGTGAGCACTGTGGTTAGGAGTCCATTGTAGTGTCCGTATGAATGAGGCCTGAAAGGAAGACGTAGCCCAGGGAATGCAGAGGAGGGGATGGGTTGGAAAGATTTAAGTACTAGAATTGTCAGGACATGTGAGGTTGAATAAGGATTGTTATAAAGAAGAGGTCAAGGCTGACCCCTCCTAGCTTAGGCAGCTGAGTAAATTAAGTACTAATACCACTCAGTAGGAGAGAATTCAGGGGCAGGACTAGGGAAGACATAGTGAATTTGGTGTGAGGTACCTGAGTTACAAGGTGTTAAGAAAGTATATTAAAGTACAGATGTGGAATACAGAAGAAAAAGTTGAACTGAAGATAGAGATTTGGGATTCATTTCATTTTATTCTATGAGCATTTGCTGAGCACCTACTGTGTGCTGTCATGTGTGAGGCATTGATTTAGGCACCAGGAGCTCAGTGGTAAATGAAATCCTTGTCTTTGTGGAGCTTACATTGTAGTGTGTGTTTAGGGGACAGGGAAGGAAAGATAGACAATGGCTAAACACACACATCTGTTACATATCAGATGATGTTAAAAGCTAAGGGGGATAGATAATACAGGATGGGCCAGGTGCAGTGGCTCGTGCCTGTAATCCCAGCACTTTGGGAGGCCGAGGCAGGCGGATTGCCTGAGGTCGGGAGTTTGAGACCAGCCTGACCAACATGGAGAAACCCTGTCTCCACTAAAAATACAAAATTAGTTGGGCGTGGTGTTGCAAGCCTGTAGTCCCAGCTACTTGGGAGGTTGAGGCAAGAGAATCGCTTGAACCTGGGAGGCAGAGGTTGCAGTGAGCTGAGATTACACCATTGCACTCCAGCCTGGGCAACAAGAGTGAAACTCCGTCACACACACACACAAAGCGAATACAGGATGGGGTACTATTTTAAATAGTTTGGTCAGGGATAGCCTCTTTGATAAGGTCACATTTGACAAGATACCTGAAGTGACTGAGAGAGTGAACTACTTAAATATCTGCGGGAAGAGAATTCTAGGCAAGTGCAAATGCCCTTGTGCTTAGTGTGTTTGTGGAACCCAGTGGAGACTAGTGTGGCTAGAGAAGAATGAGTGAAGGGAGTGTTGTAGGACACAAGATTCAGAGAGGTGAGGGGTAGGAAACAATCACGCAGGGCCTTGTGGGGCATTGTAAGACTTGGCTTAATGGGAAACCATTGGAAGGTTCCGCAGAGGAGTGACATGACGGCTTAGGTGTGAACAGTTGGGTGGGGACTAGTCCAAAGGCGGAATAGATGTGGAGGCAGGAAGACTAGTTAGGAGTCTATGGTAATATCTAGACAGTAGGGAATGGTGGCTTGGGCCAGGGTGGGAGCTTTGGAAGTGGTTGGATTCTGGATACGGACTAGGTAGCAGCTGGGGCTCTGGAAGGCAGGTGGGTAAGACTGCAAAAAGAAAAAAAGGGTGAGAATAGGTCCCTGGAAATACTTAAGACCCTGGAGAAGGAGGAAGGAAGATGTCAGAGGAAATAGAACTGGATGGAGATGCATTTGTTGGCTGTTAGGTGTCATGGATGGCCTTCTCCCAAGCAGTTTCTTGAAGTGGTAGGGGCAGAAATCATGGCATAGTGGACTGAAGAGTGAAAAGGATGGGGAGGAAAGGCCCCTACAGGGCAATTGTTGTTCTCAGATTATTGTTGAGAGTTGGGAAAGAGGGAGGGAAGGACAGGAACAGCATTTTCTAGAAGGACATGGATTTGGGGGGGCTGCTGTTTTAGTAGGCTGAGTAGTTTTTTTGTTTTGTTTTTGTTTTTGTTTTTTTGAGACGGAGTTTTGCTCTTGCTGCCCAGGCCAAATTGCAATGGCATGATCTCGGCTCACTGCAACCTCTGCCTCCTGGGTTTGAGCGATTCTCCTGCCTTGGCCTCCCGAATAGCTGGGATTACAGGCACCTGCCACCAGGCCTGGCTAATTTTTTTGTATTTTTAGTAGAGACAGGGTTTCACCATGTTGGCCAGGCTGGTCTTGAGTGATCTGCCCACTTCAGCCTCCCAAAGTACTGGGAGTACAAGCATGAGCCACCGTGCCTGGCCAGCTGAGCAGTTTTTATGTTGAGGGGGAACTGGTGGAGAGTGAAGGGCAGGAAGATGAGCAGAGGCCAGACTGGGGACCTAGGCCCAGGGTATATTTGAGAGGAGTGGGAAGGACCTCCTCTCCCAGCAGCAGGAAGTGAGAAAGAAGGGACTGGGTGGGCCTGGTGAGTGCTCCCAAAGGGCTCAAAGGAGAAGTCCTTGAGCATAGGCTAGGCATTTCTGAGAAATGGGACGAAATGGTTGTGCTGTTGACTCAGTAGGCAGGCTGAGCATGAATTTAGGGCCCACCAAAACATGGGTCCACACAACTGAGGAAAGTTCAGCTACCAGAAACTCATCTGGAATTTCATAGTCTGGATATCTAGGAAGAGGCTCATTTAATTTCAGCATACATGGAATGAATGAAATTGAATCTGCTTATCACATATGAGGGGTGTGCTCACCATTGGCACTTGGGGCTTCTTTTTTCTTTTTTTGAGACGGAGTCTCACTCTGTCACCCAGGCTGGGGAAATCTTGGTTCACTGCAATGTCCGCCTCTCTGGTTCAAGCGATTCTTCTGCCTCAGCCTCCTGAGTAGCTGGGACTACAGGCATGTGCCACCATGCCCCACTAATTTTTGTATTTTTAGAAGAGACGGGGTTTCACCATGTTGGCCAGGCTGGTCTTGAAGTCCTGACCTCAAGTGATCCGCTCACCTCAGCCTCCCAAAGTGCTGGGATTACAGGCATGAGTCACCATGCCCAGTCAGCACTTGGGGCTTCTGATGGTCTCATGACAGCATTGGGAGGAAAGGTGGCCATTTCAACAGCTTTTCCTGGCCCTAACCCACTAGAGAGAAGGGAAGGTAATAGGAATAGTGGGTGAGCAGGGGAGTTTGAATCCAGGAGTGATGTGAATATTGTTGGCAGCCTGAACTGCACAGAGTGGAGCCTCTTGCCCCCTGCCACAGAGGAGATGGTGGCACAGTCGTCTGTGGTGAAGGGCCGCTTCATGGGGGACCCATCATACGAATATGAACACACTGAGCTGCAGAAGGTGAATGAAGGTGAAAAGGTCTTTGAAGAAGAAATAGTGGTGAGTGAAGAGGAGAGCAGGAGGAGGGCCTAAAGGAGAGCCTGGGCTCATCCAGAACCCAGCCCAATAGAAATTATGGCAATAGGCCAGGCGCGGTGGCTCAAGCCTGTAATCCCAGCACTTTGAGAGGCCGAGGCGGGCGGATCACGAGGTCAGAAAATTGGGACCATCCTGGCTAACACAGTGAAAACCCCATCTCTACTAAAAATACAAAAAATTATCTGGGCGAGGTGGCGGGTGCCTGTAGTCCCAGCTACTCGGGAGGCTGAGGCAGGAGAATGGCGTGAACCCGGGAGGCGGAGCTTGCAGTGAGCAGAGATCCCGCCACTGCTCTCCAGCCTGGGCGACAGAGTGAGACTCTGTCTGAAAAAAAAAAAAAAAAAAGAGAGAAAAAAAATTATGGCAACAAGTACCATCATTATCTCCTCTTTTTTTTTTTTTTTTTTTTGAGACAGGAATCTCATTGTGTTACCCAGGCTGGTCTCAAACTCCTGGGCTCAAATAATCCTTTTGCCTCAGCCTCCCAAGTAGCTAGGAGTGCAAGCATGAGCCACCATCCCTGGCGACTAATGTTATTATTATCTTTGTGCCACGTTGGTTATTGAGTACCTGGGTGTGCTAGGCAACGTGCTACTGTGCCTATATCATCTCGTTTCATCCTTAAAACCCTATGGAGTTGGTACATTACTTTCCAGGTGGGAGAGAAGAGGACATTCTCCTACCAGTTTAGAGAGAGAGGTTAAGTGATGTGCCCAAGGCCACACAGCTACCTCCTAAGCAACTGGATAAAGGCAGTGGGTAGGCTCTGGGGTGGGGACTGGGAAGAAGGGGTGCTCTGTGCTGTACTCGGGGGTCAGGGAATGTGCACAGGTTCTTATATTTTAGTATCAGTTTTCATTTCACAAAATAATAAATTCGCATGTTCAAAATTCAAAAGTACAAAAAGGAATATAGTAAAGTTTCCTCCCATCTCTGTCCACTAGTCACACAGGTCCTCTATTTAGGGGACATTAACTATTTCTCTCTCTCCTTCTCTCCTTCCTCCCTCCCTTCCTCCCTCCCTCCCTCCCTCCCTCTCTCCCTCCCTTCCCTCCCTCCCTTCCTTCCTTCCTTCCTTCCTTCCTTCCTTCCTTCCTTCCTTCCTTCCTTCCTTCCTTCCTTCCTTCCTTCCTTCCTTCCTTCCTGTTTTTTGAGACGGAGTCTTGCTTTGTCACTCAGGCTGGAGTGCATTGGCGCCATCTCAGCTCACTGCAACCTCCGCCTCCTGGGTTCAAGCAATTCTCCTGCTTCAGCCTCCCAAGTAGCTGGGATTACAGGTGCCTAACACCACACCCAGCTAATTTTTGTATTTTTAGTACAGACGGGGTTTTACCATGTTGGCCAGGCTGGGCTCGAACTCCCGACCTCAGGTGATCCAACCGCCTCAGGCTCCCAAAGTGTTGTGATTACAGGCATGAGCCACCGCACCTGGTCTGACGTTAACTATTTTGCATGTACATATGTGTGTACATATGTGTATGTGTGTGTCTAAATTTTTCTGCTCCAAGTAGAGTCTGGATCAGAAGCTTCACCATGTCCTAAGAGTTAGAAATGTAGGATCTTGGGCCCCAGCATCAGGTATCTGCCTTTAAAAAAAAATCCCCTGGGCATTGGCTGGGCACTGTGGCTCACACCTGTAATCCCAGCACTTTGGGAGGCCAAGGCAGGCAGATCACGAGGTCAGGAGATCGAGACCATCCTGGCTAACATGGTGAAACCCCGTCTCTAGGCGTATGTAAATGATGTGTATGTGTGTGTCTAATTGTCTGCTCCAAGTAGTGAGTCTGGATCGGAAGCTTCACATTGTCCTAAGAGTTAGAAATGTAGGGGATCTTGTGGCCCAGCATCAGGTTCTGCCGTAACACAAAAATCCCTGGATGCTGGGCACATGTGGCCTACACCTGTAATCCAGCACTTTGGAGGCCAAGGCAGGCAGATCACGAGTCAAGAGAGCGAGACCATCTGGCTTACATGGTGAAACCCCGTCTCTACTAAAAATACACAAAAATTAGTCGGGCGTGTGGGGGCGCGTAGTCCCAGCTACTCGGGAGGACGAGGCAAGAGAAACTGGCTCGTGAACCTGGAGGCGGAGCTGCGGTAAACCTAGAATCCGACCACTGCACTCCAGCCTGTTGGCAAAGCGAGGAGCTCGTCTAGAAAAAAAAAAAGAAAATGCCCCTGGGCATTTGATTCACATTAATTCCCAGTGCTGCTCTGGAGACCAGTTCATGGAAGTTATAAGCCTAACAAACACCATACCTATACATATTTCTCTTTACCTTAACAAAACTAACAAAACAAAACATGGCAGTAAGTTATGCACATGATTCTGAACCTTGCTTTTTTTTCACCTAACAATATATTTTGGGGATCTTTCTATATCAGTGTCTTAAAGAGCCTTCCCAATC